AAAGTCAAGACCTATTCGTTCATTTGTTTCCTCAGTCATTGTATTCAAAAATCAGGTGTGGGTACAAGAAGTCAACTCAGTGAATTGAATAACGAGCGATTTCAACATGGAAGTCTACATAACGGAGCTGGGCTTGACCATGCTCTGCGATATAACCACATAAACCCTTGTAGGTTTAAGTAGTCACTGAACTCTGAGGTGACCACAATTCTTAAGATTAAAATCAAATTGAAATCGAACTGTTTAGATAATGGACGAAATTTGGAAGATAAACACTGTATTCAACAACAGCAAAGCTGCTCATACACAAATCACTGTTCAAGAACGTTTTTCTCATGATATTACCCCAGTGGCACGGTTTGGGTCAACACAGAGTACAAGTCAAAGGACCGTGCACAATGGATTTTAGGGGAATTTAGAAAGAGCTCATGCATTTTTTTACTATCGTTTAGTGCTTTTCCGATGGATCGCCAATTATGTCACCTTACGCTAGAGTCATTTAGTTGTAATAACCAAGAGGTAATTCATGTCTCTTGCAGAAACTCGCCTAATTTTGTGATTTAGGTTGATATGCAATGGACAAATTGGACAGATGCGCTGACGCTGCTCAAGAAAAAAATAGTCCTTCCAGACTTTGTGCTCAGCAACTACTCAACCGTGCTCGAACATGTGGTGAGTGAAGAAAAGAATTTGACAATAACTTTCTTTGGATGACTTTGATTTTTTTCAAATGAAGTATGACATGCTCGAAGCAAATTTTCCTTCATTTACGTAAGCTTCCTCATCTAAATGCATAGATGCTATTTAGCTCCTAGATTATCTCAATCTAGTTAAAAAAGTGTCTTCCAAAATTGCTTATCGCGCAAATTGCGTTGTTCCAAAATTCACTCTTTAATCTTAGAATTCCAAGCAGATTTGCAATGATGTGTCAATAGTTTTTGGAGTATCAAAGGCTTAGGTCAGACTTCTCGTCCTACCCATCAATCCTGACATTGCCCTCCAGGAGCTGACGTAACCCATAACGTTTACAAAATGAGTATTGCTTAGAACTCTTACACGAAATTTTGCAGATTTATCCAGCTGGAATATAGAATAAATTGAAGATGACGTTTGTGTTCAGTAGACGTTACGAGTGGTATATCTTTCAAGCTTATATTCCGACATACTTCACTATTTTTATAAGGTGATGTTCAACTGCTGGTTTGATAGCATTCTATTTCAAAATTTCAACCGCATAAAATATTGGTGCTGATAAAATCTCCAATACCTTATCGTATCTTCCAAAATGCATAAAA